GTGGGACGAAACCGAAAATCGACCCGTAAACGCTTATTCCTTGCGTCACTATTGCATTATTAAGAGACTAGGTATCTAACCGTTCTAACCACCAACGCCACGTCAGTATGTTCGTAATATTATTTCCCATGGATTACTTGATATTAGTTTATTATTAGAAATTCCTGCTATTTTCAAGTACGTAATTATATTACTAATTGCGACATTGCTGGGAATTTAGAACAATGAAGGTTACGTCGTTACAAAATTTTTACGTAGGTATCTTCCAAGTTAAGTAATTTGTTTTATATTTCATAGAGGCATCCTTTGGCAGCATTTAATTTTGTAATCAAATTAAATAAAACAGATCGGCAGATTAATTTTAGAATTCCTGAGCTCATTGTATTACATTTTAAAAAAATTTAACTTTTATGATCAGCTTTTCTCTGAAACTAAAAGTTCCCCCCACACCACGCGAAATTTCCGATGTCGCTCGGGGTCTATGCTATACCGTGGTGGACAGATAAATTGAAATTTTGAGGACCAGCAAGTACAAAAATATACTGAAAGCTTTATTTAAGACAAGCAAATATGTATAATAGCATTATTATACAGGGTGGCCAAATGAAAACGAAACAGAGCCATTTTCAGGAATTGCGACAAGATTGTAGAAAAACGCTCAGACCCGTCGATTTTATATTAAAGAAGGACATTCTTTGCTGGTATTTTTGACTCCGCCACTTTCACCCCCAAGCAAGGGTAAGCATCACCCCAAAATATTTAAATGGCATTGGGGGTTGAGTAATATTTCTTTTGAAAGCTCTTACAATTCTCTTTACAACAGACTTTAAATTTTATAATTCCGCCCAATACTTAGTAAGAATTTTGATTTTAAAGTTGAAACTTATGTATAAACAATTTTTACGAAGGTGATAACAAATCGCCAAAAAACAATGTAACGCAAGAAATACTAAATTTATACCATTGGCGTACTTAACTCGAATGACTGACATTTTTACCGTTACCAATTGTTTAGTCCCTTTAATCTAAAATCGACGGGTCAGAGCGTTTTTCTACAATCTTGACGCATTTCCTGAAAATAGCTCTGTTTCGTTTTCATTTGGCCACTCTGTATAAAGACCTTGGTATCAGAAAGAGATAAATTCATAATTTTGAAAATGAGATTTCTGAAAAAATTGGTTTAAAAGAGTTAGAAAACTGTTTTTGTCTGTTGCAAATATGGAATCTGTGGGCTCATGGTGGGCTCAATAGAAATCAAAAACCACTTTTTTAATGTCGAACATTTTTTATAATTGCTATCTGATGCATGGTAACAAAGACTGTTCTTATGTGTTGTAGGGACTGATAATTAAATGTATTGTATACGCATAAATGCTTGGGTTATGTTATACCGTATAGGTTTTGCACAATTGCGACCATGTTAGTATAATTAAGGAAATAATGAATTTCTCTTTGAAATTGAAGTGAAGTGAAGGAGAGGAAATGTTAGTTGCTAAGAAGCAATGTTTGCGCTTTCCAATGAATCCATAGAGTATTTGGTCATATGATAAAATAAGCGTAGGTAAGAGTTGAGTCAGTTTCTTGTCAATTTTAAATGTGTAATTGTTCAGTTTATTAAATTTGAGCAAGACGAAAAACTTAAACCGATAATTGATGTCATCGTATCCCTTCTACGATGCAAGTGAGTCTAACATAAGCTAAAGGAAGCAGGTATCATTTTGTAGTTGAACTAGAACTCAAACAAAGTTGCATACAGTATTAAAATAATTAAGTCTAAATTAAATTTTGGAACCTATTAATACTAAGAATTCATCATCTATCATGAACACAAATTAAAGTTAATCTTGAAATTATCATGAATAACTTTTTTAATTTTATTCTAATGATAATTTTTTACTTATTTAATTGAGCATTTCTGCCACATTGAAAAGAAAATGATATTTTCAATTAAATTAAATTTAGTTTTTTCTAACCACAAGCATCTAAAATTAAAAAAGTACATTATTGTTCATGGTTATACTTGAACAAGACAAGCTGATAACGTTTCGAAAACTCCTCTGTTTTATGTATTAAACATTATAATGAAGTGTGATCGTGAACAATGCCTAATATAAAATGCCACAAGTAAATAGTTACAGTACAGACAATAGCATCTATAATAAATTGTTTTGGAACTGGCTGTTAGTGGGATTTATTTAATTTTAAAAAACACTGAGTGACGCCTCAACAGTTGACGGCTGTCTGGGACTATCAGATATTGGAAGCACGTGTCGTCATTATGTTATCGGCTTCTAACGATAGATAAGAATAATATGGGTTTATGAAAATTTACTCTGGGTGCTCAGGTGGCTACCTCTGTCCTACTTTTATAGTTTTATACGAAGAGAATGATACGTTTATGTCGCGGTATGCTAGCTGTGGTTTCAATTTTATATGACGACATAGCCCCACGTTGGGTGCCATTTCGCGGCTGTGTATTGCTGGCTTCAGGGATATGAAGAAGAAGAAATATGTAATAGTTTTTATAATCTATTTTATGTATTCGGGAGTTCTCACCCTATCTCCGTATCTCCCCATATCTTCGTTCTCATTTTACGTATACGCAAAAAACACTAGCACCTACGGACAGCCATCAGGTATTTTCATGTAGGCTTGCGCATTTGTCATGTGACGAAGGTCAGAAATAATTAATGGAATTATTTTTACGTATGTTTTACATAATAGAAAAATCTAACCTATAAGTTTATTTTTTTTAATTAATAATTAAGAAAAGTGGGCATAAGGGCAGCTTGGTTGTGGTGCAGGACATATGTGGGATCTATAGGATACACGGCGTAAGCTAGGGAGAAAATGTCTGTCTTAACACAAACACAAATATAAAGTAGAAAAAATATATTCACATTTCGGAAACAAGTTAAACTATCTAATTTTTGTAAATTTCCATGTGTACGCTATTTAAAATAATGTAATAGACAGTTCTGCAAAACGTGTTATCACGACACGACACAAAATGTTCCCAAGTTTCACATAATTCAACCTTTGCTGTCTGCTGTACAAAATGTGATGCACGAGTATAAATGCAGTGCATATTAGAAGGTGAAGATAGGAGTTTGTATGTAGAATACCGTGGCTTTAAGTCTGTTTTTGGTGCAATATTTGGTGTTCCGCAAGTTTCTGTCTTGAGCCCCTTGCTCTTTAATGTATTTTATTAATGACATTATTGCTAATGTTAATGTGAACTTCATGCTAACGACATGAAATTGTTTTCTGTTGCAGAAAATGATAAAATCAATGTGTACTGTTACAAAACAGTTTAGATGCTGTCAGTGCCTGGTGTCATCTGAATAAATTGCCGTTGAATATTCTTTAATGTAATATATACTGTCTTATTCTATAAAAAATAATGTTACACTTCCTCGTTCTACTTAACCTACTCTACAATTCATTTGTAAAATGTAGGTTTGAAAATGGTTCGCTAATTTGAATCCAGATGACAGTAAATATTCCAATAGCATAGAAATTATTCAGCGTCGTTATCCACAATTTTTAACCTTTAAAATTGACAACGTGTACTTGCCTATGGGTATTCCTTCCTCCAACTGTTGGATAAATTTTCATTTCTGAGTCTATCTTGTTAAATATTGGTTTTTTGTGTAAACCCCACCCCACAATTGGTGTACTCTGAGGTGATGTAACTTGATAAATAAATAAATAAATAAATAAAGGTTTCATTAATTCTTAATTACATTTCTTTGGAAAAAAGATAGAATCCGAATTTTAAAGTTTTGTTATAACTATGAATATATCGTTTTCTCTCTTATTTAAGTATAGTTTTCTTATGATGTTGAGGTTATTTTTATTGTATACATTTTTTATATTTAATTTAGTAAATTATTAATTATTTTATTAATGAAATAATAAAAATATTATATGTATAGCACGATGGGTACAATAGTATAATATGTATATTTTTTAATTGCGTACAAATATGTACCTATAGTTTCAATAAAATTGATAAGAGTAATTTGATTAAATATTTAGGTCTGGTATTCTCCAGCTGAAAATTTGTTGAAGGTTACACAACTCTCATTATTTTTATAGGCACAATTTAAACTCAGACAATTTTGTAGACATATTAACCATTACGCAGTTAGCATACTTTAGAATACACTGGAGTTGGCAATCCAAACCTAAACAGTTTTAAACGGTAGTAACAGGATACTACGTTATGTGGTTGCATTTTATATTTATTCGGGCTTGCGGTTAACCCGCGATGCTACTTGGTATTGTACTTCTTAGTTATCTGCAAAATATTGTGGATATTATCACTGTTATGTTAGGTACAACCAGCAATGAAATTCGCATTTGAATAGTTTTAAAACGTGCCAAAGTATCTACTTATGTGTTTGTTATGTGATAGTAACTACAGGGACGGGGTATTAAAAAACAATGGAATTGCGGGATGGGAACACTTGATATGAGAATGGAATTAATGGGGCATACTATTTAGCTCTTTTGAAATTGCAAGAAAATTATTTTATAATGTATTGGAAAAGTGTTACCTATTAATAAATAAAAATAAAAATTGTACCTATTTTTTTCATCTCTAACCATTACAGTCAGTTTTGATTTAAAGACAGAACTTGTAGGTAATTTTTTCGTACTCCTAGATATTTTCCCAAATGAACGAGAATACGTCCAGCTAGAGAGAGAGGCTAAGTTTTTACAATGTATGAATGCAATCTGCAAGTTACTGTTGCTAAGGGCCAATCGGCTATAAGTAGGAAAGCATTGAATTTCGGACCCAACTACTATGGAGATTTTGTGGTAACAATTCACCACAATTTCAGCCAATTTGACCCATATTTTCATAAACATCATGCAGAGTCCTTTGGATTAGATGTACTGTTGGCTTTTATAACTACTGCTCCAAATGCAGTGTACTTTTGAAAATTCTTAATTACTAAGGCACATTCTTCATTTTCCTCTCTTTCTTCCAGATGGCGCTTACGGAATATCTGAACCGGCCTAACGACAGTCGCGAGGTAATCTTCCTCGGCGTGAAGATCCCCAACTGGATCTACAACATCTACTGCGTGATAGGTATCTTCGCCTTCGGAGCTGCCTGCTCACAACTTACCACCGACGTGATGAAGTATACCATCGGTAGACTTAGGCCGCACTTCTTCACGGTATGCCTGCCAGACGTGTGCAACGGTTCGTACCCAGACTATCAGTACCACGAGAACTACACCTGCACCAACGCCCTCTACAAGAATAACAAGCGCATTATGAAGGAAATCAGGTAGGAAGTTTTTTTCTTCTATTTTAAAACTAATTCAAATAAATTTTTAAAAAATGTTTCTAAAAAGTCTTATTAAATGAAATCAAATAATGTTATTCCAGAACATCCTTTCTTTTGCATAACAGAACTCTAGATATATCTAAGATTTTTATCCCCACATACAAGACTTCTAACTGCTGATATTTCGGGAAATAACTACTATATGGGCTACATATAGATTTCTGGTATCGAAAACATTGTTTGAGATACAGAAGTGGTTAAAAGAGCAAAAATGTGCAGAATTTTATGCCGATCGTTTTTCGTTTTCGTTTCATTTTTAAATTTAGAAAATTCCAGATAGTTCGGAAGATATTCGAAGGAAACCGATTTTATGCTATTTCATTTTTTAGTCGTATTCGACTTGTTTTTCAAAATTTGAAGGCAAAAATGTGTAGTCTGATACCAAATGATGTAAGGAATCGATTTTTGCTAACACACTTGACATATCTTTAAAAATATGTACTGTTTGTTTTTGTTATGGACGTCATACTGAATTTTTGCCTCTTTGGAAGGAAAAGGAAATTCTCTTTATAACGAAGAATAATGTATGGGCTTTTCGTAAATAAATAAGATATTGAATATAATTATAATCTTAACAAAAAAGTCAAGTAGTCATGTGAAACATTAGAATTTTTCTATAAATTAATTACTTAATTAATTTCTTATTTCTAGCATTTTTTAACACAACATCCTTTACTTACATAAAAATAACAAGAGCGACGAACAAAATAACATACAGGATGTCCCGCATAACAACCAACACAGGGCAGGTGTATCTAGGGGTGTCCAAAATATTGTAATTTAACCAAACTTACCTATATACAAAGTTCCACCCCTGAGGAGTTATTAACCCTCAAAGTGGGGCCCTAAATTTCGAAAAAAATTATTATATCTGCAACACTTTACCGTAGATGAACCAAATTTGGTACATGATTTAGGTTTATTACTGGTCTTCTTTGTCTATGATTTAAAGTTAATTGAAGCACTACAAGGTGTTCATTGGGGATGACTCACCCCTGAAATTGTACCGAACTTTTTTTTTTCATTAACCGAATTGAAAAATAATAATATTAATTCACAGCAGAATTTAATTTTAGGGGGATAATAACTCCTCCGCAACTTTGTATATACGTAAGTTTGGTTAAATTACAATATATTGGACACCCCTAAATGTAGCTGCCCTGTGTCGGTTCTTATGCGAGACACCCTGTATATATGGCAAAATAAAATTAAATAGTAAATTTAAATTATATCACAAATGTTCGAAGTGCATACCATACACTTCTGCTCTAAGTGGCAGATTGACTCATGTCAGGAGTTTATCACCCTTGAAATATTTATTCTCAATTCTTCCTCATTATTCTTGATATAATATATAGCCTGTATAGCTGATACTTAACAATGAAAGAAAAAGTCCATGGTGGTCAAATCAGGACTTCTCGGAGGCCAAATAACTACACCACTAAATATGTAATGGTATGCACTTCGAATATTTTTGATAAAATTTAAATTTACCATTTAATTTTGTTTTGCTTTATCTATGTTGTTTTGTTCGTTATTGTTATGTAAATAAAGGTTGCTGTGTTAAAATGTGCTAAAAATAAGAAGAATTAAGTTAATTTATAGAAAAATTAGAATGTTTCACATGGCTACTTGACTATTTTATGAAAATTATAATTATTATAATAAATATTTTGGTTATTTATTTAAGAAAACCCCATAGATTATCCATCGTCATAAAGAGAATTTCTCTTTCCTTCTAATGAGGCAAAAATTCAATATGGCGTCCATAACAAAAACAAAAGTTAACTACTGCTCAGCACACATTTTTGGAGATACATCATGACATCAAAAATGGATTCCTCACATCATATAATATCAGACTACACATTTTTGTCCCAAAATTTTGAAAAACAAGTAAGATACGACTAAAAAAAGAAATAGCATAAAATCGGTTTCCTTCGAACTATTCGGAATTATCTAAATTTAAAATAAGAAAGATACCTATATTGGTCAATTAAAAAGTTGTTACCCTGCATGTTTCTTCTTCTATCTAGTCCAACGAAATAAAAAATGATTATACATATGTAGCAAAGTCGTCGTTAATATTATCAATTTACGCAACTCAAAAATTAAAATTTTCAGATAATTCAAGAATTATTTGCCAGATATTGCCAGAATACTAAAAATATACTAAAATTGACACATTTTTCAATTTCACAAAATACAATTTATCAATAGATATATGTTTTTTTTTAATTTTAAACAGTAAAATTTGGTCAAAACTACGTATGAGATACAAAAAACAGTGGATGCAAAATGGGATATTTGCATTAAAAAAAATGAATTAATTCTACAAACCGAAATGATTTCTACAATGCGAATTGTATAAGCAGTTTCGCTAATAATTTCTTATATAAATATAAATTGTCATTTTATTTTAAAAATTTTAATTCAGCTTGTAACGTACTAGACGGATTAGACTATGGGCGTTATTATTACAGAAAACTTCTTATTTAAGTAACTCTTCTCTATTTTTCTATAATTAAATAAAAAGAGGACAGTTGTGTGAGAATTTAGTTGAGCTTCTTATCGACAGATAGCACAATTAAGCTATATTTTAGTACGTCACAGCTGTCCACCAAATTCGTTTTATATTTATATATTTTAAATTTCCAGTCAAACAAAGATTTCATACAATAATAAATAATAATAAGGGACAAGTATTTTGTCACATTTAATTTTCTGTTAATATCTGAAAATCTCATAATAAATTTAGATTCTGTTACTTCTATTGCAATATAAACACTATTTACACAGTTCTTACAATTCGTTAAATACTCATTATTTTGACGTACATTTTTTAAGAAAGTGATGAATTCTAGGCCATTAATGGTCAGTAACATATATGATAAATTATTTAGAACTGTTTATAAACAAAACATATTCGTGGTATTAGATAATAAAATATAGTTTCTGAAGAATCGATTATAAATTTCTAATATCAGTGTTACAATGATTATTATTGTTCTTTTCAGGTTATCATTCCCCTCTGGACATTCCTCGTTCTCAATGTATACAATGGTTTATTTCGCGGTAAGTGCACTTATATTCTATATATGTGTTAATAGATAGATACATTTTATGTAACACTTTTTATAAATCTAGCTAGGTAATCTAGCAAGTTAAACGCTCAAAATGGTAAACATTAAAAGAAACGATAATTTTTGTTTATTTTTTTAAATTATAAAAAAAGTTTACCATAGCAGAAACAGCAGAATAACAAAATATGTCTACAATAAGTGCATGGCAATGAGTTGAAACGTACGGTAATTGGTAAGGTGATAATGTCCAATGCTGTGTATGTAAGTATCTTCAGATAAAACATTATAAAGTCAACCATAGAATGATCTTAAGGGATAATGCATATCGGATCTATATAGATGTTGAAAGGGTGGGATAATAGCACGACGCGACGCCTGCCTTGATAGATGGTTAGGACCTCTTCCACCTTCGCATGCAGCCTTCTGCATCTGAGGAAGGACGCCACTAATTTGACCGATCCGACAGGGTAGGTCGAGCATCTTTACAAAAAGCCCATCGTGCTAGATCCTGCTGATGGCCTTGCCGACGTCCAGGAAGACTGCACTGGTGGATTCTCTGTTGTAAAAACTTACGGACACGAGTTCCGCCAACCTGAGTATCTGCTGCTCGTTTGAGTGTCCGTTGCGGTAGGTGAACTGCTCGTCGAGGATAACTCGTGCTTCGTTCGAACTCTCTTGCAATTTGACTAGGATGATCCTATCTACTACCTTGCTTATCATCGGCAGGAGACTGATGGGCCTCTAACTGAAAGCAAAGGTTAGATTCTTACCTGGTTTCGGGAAGAAGATGACGTCGGCTTTTTTCCACCTGTCGGGAAATCTTCGTAATCTGTGGGGTACCTATAGTCCAATCAATGACCATTGTCCCGTATAATTTTGCCAAACAGCACCGATTTTCATAAAAAATTAGATTTAGGTTCTACTTACCCTCTACTTCAAAGTTGACCTTGTACCGGGGGTTGCTTTTACCCTGGGGGGTGGATGCCACCCCTTCTCGGGGGTGAAAAATGTTTCATTGACAATAACTCCGGGAATGGATATATTGACTAATTCTAAGCAACTTTTGTTCTATAAAGTTTTTTCTTAAAGTCAATACTTTTCGACGTATTCGCGAGTGAAATGTGTAAATTTTTTAATAAAAAAAAACAATTTTTTCAGACGGTTTTTCGCGAATAACTCAAAAAGTAAGTATTTTATCAAAAAAATCATTCTTATAAAAAATGTAGCTTATAAAAAAACAAAAAGAATGGTGTGCTTATGGTGTCTGTAGATCCAATAAAAACGGAGTAATAGCTTGTTGAAGGTTGGTTCTTATTCGTCAAACGTCAAAATTGAAAAACGTGAAAATCACCCCTTAATTACCACCCCAATTGAAAATAATCGTTACCACTTTACAATTTATTTTATTTATGTACTTGTAATATGCTCTAGAAGTTTGACCGGTTTAAAGTGCTTAGTTTTGAAAAAAGTTGAACTTGAAGTGAAAAGAGAATTTTTGTATTTTTGGAAAAAATTGTCTTATCTTCAAAATAACTCAAAAGCTATTAATGATATGTAAAATTTTGTAGAGTGCAAAATTGTAGGTTTTGCTTTTTTTAATTTTTTTTTGTTCTGTAGGATAAAAATTAAGTAAGATATGGCCGTTTAAAGTTTGCATATGTTCGTAAATAGCAACTTGTTCAAAATAAGGGCTGAAAGAAAATTTAACTTATTTGATCTTATAGTTCTTGAGAAAACCTACAAAATGGTTTTTTGAAGGGCTTGATAGCATAAAAACTAAGCTAGTTATGGGTAAAAAGCCAATCACATATTTTTGCAGAATCAGAACACGTATATTGAAGTATTGATGGATACATATTATAGCTATATTTTAGGAATAGAATAGAAAAGGAAGACGAGAGTGAAGAGGATTTTTGATTATTTATGTTATTTTCAATAAAAAAAAATTTTGTTATAAAAATAAAAAAATTAAAATCCATATAAAAATAAAATTCTTATTTTCCCTATTTTTGATTGCAAATTTTAATCAGTAGGGTTTTTTAAGGTTTGATAAAATAAATACATTACATTTTAAATAATGAAAAGTTTGTATTATATTATCATATTTACTTATTTAAAAATGATTTCAACCTATTACACGCTCGAATCTACAACTTTATAATGATTTTATAGGGTAGTTTTCACCCCTAAAAAATAAAAATCAACCCTCGGCACAAGGTCAGCTTTAAAGCAGAGGGTAACCTAAGTCCAAATTTTGGTGCAAATCGGTGCTGCTTGGGAAAATTATACAGTAACGCCGTATTTTACCTTCAATGACTGGACTAGTAGCTTGATTCGGTTTCCGGTCTGGTAACAGACAGGTGCATTGTGGAGATTGAGGCGTCACAAGATGCCTCTCACCTTCTTGGGCGTTGCTGATCTGATGACGTCGGGTTGGCGTCAGTAACGCCGTAACACGTGGCAGACGAAAAATAATTTTTTCGACAATTTAGTGCCAAAAAAATATCAAATGTGTCGAAAAGAAAGTTATCGCCAATTTAAATTAATCCAAAAAATTCAAAGTGCAATAAATTCTGATTATATGATGAACAACACCAAAACACGGATGATACTGTAAAGAAATAGATTTGCAAATATATATTCTGATCAAAATTGATCTTATATTTAGTAATCTACGAGTAAAACGATAGCCCTTTCCTCAGAGAAAGTCAGAAAAACTGCAGAGCCAATTATATTATTATAACTAGTGAAAAATGTTAATACATTGCGTTTTATCTATAGTTAACTTAAGCTTACAATCTACAAACCGATCATTAACTTTAGTATAATCCCTACAAATTAGACATGTAATGTAACATCAACGTAAAGAACACATTTCTCAGGAAATATCTAGAAAAGAAGGTCATTCATATATATTCCATATAACTATTACAATAATTTTATCGTCGTTATAGTGTCATTTCATATCATAAAATATTTCTATTTGAGTAAGTACCTATAAGAAATGGGATGCATATACAGGGTCAGTCAGGAGAGTCGCATCAATCTCTAAGAATGGGTTCTTGGTCGAATAAACTGTAATCAAAAGTTAAACTATTGCAACATAAAATGACACTGAGAAATATCCTACGTTTGAACTTGGAACATTGCATACTCTATGTAAAATTTTTTAAATTTGTAATTACGCTATAACTTAAAAACAAATGAAAATCGCATAACAGCTTTTGAAATTTTTCTTATTATTAAGTAAATACTGATCTACTATCACATCGATACCAAAAGTCAAATAAAGTTAGACATTGTATATTTTTCTTGGTGGAAAATTTGGAGAAAGATCAACACTAAATTCAAATTCTGGAATTTAAGCATTGTTTGAGCTTAAATTATTATTTATTTTTTTGATTAATATTTTGAAATAACTTTTTCTGCGTAAGCGATAGTTTTAAATTTATTACGCTTATCATTGACAACAAATTGCAAAAAGAGCAAAATATTAATTAAAAAACAATAACTTAATGGTTATGTAACTTCGTTAATATTGAATTTTCAAAAAAGTGCTAAATAGGAAGTTGTATTATAACTTGCCGATTCATATATTGGTATTTTTTATGAAAATTTAAGAAAATCTTTGTAAGTAATTTGATTCTCTAGTTCTAACTGATACATAAATTAGTTTCATAATCTTACAATAAGTTTATAAGTACTTCTTTCATAATTTTGCTATGTAACATTAATAGTATATTTATATGTGGTTTACTGTAATTAATACTATAAATATTTAATAACTATTTCCTTGTAATTAGAAATGTGATAACTACTAGAATAATTGCTTATTAATTATTTGAAAAAATAAATTTTTAAACTACTCTAAAAATTGAACAGTGCTGTTTGTAATATTAAGGAACAGCGAAAAAATGTTTATAAATATTTCTATTTATACAGGTTACATGAAATTTTTGCACTATCTACATACCTCATCGAATAAAATTGTGATCTCTTAAACATTCGATCAATCAAAATGGTACAATCATGAATTGATTGTGATAAAAAAGTTTGAATTCACTAAAATTGTGTACATATGGAATGAATTTTCTTATCATTTTCTGCCACTGTAGTTAGTTTAAAAGAATATATTAAACAACACCTATTTCTCTTCATCAGTTAAATCAATATCTCTTTCTGAACCAAAGCCTTGACTTGGTCACTCAAAACGATTTCCAATAAGAGCATTGCAACCAATGTAACTCCCTACAAATTTACTAAAATTTCAAGTCCCAAACTAATTCTGAAGTACATATACCAGTTTGTTGACACTGGCGCCTGGATTATATGTTTTATATCGTGATCAAGTTAGCTTTACTGCCCTGGCCTACATCGCCGTAAATGGGACACTTTAATTATCTTTGAAAATGAATTGTCCACCACGAGTGCAAAGACATTAAGTTTGATTTAACGTTCATATAAAAGAATACATTTCAAGGCTAACTGCTCTGGAGGATTGTTTTAGGATTGTTAAATCTGAAGTGATTTATTATTTACTACATTGTGTTAAATCTATGTTTGTCTTTCAGAAAGTTAAAATAAAAAACGGAACAACTTGATTACCATTTAACACAAAAAAAATATTTCACTGTATTTGTAATGTTGTAATGTTTAAAGCGAATTTGATAGATGTACGTGTATTGTCGTCTATGTGTATATTCCTGCTAACGTCACCTGTTACCGCTGGTGGAGGGTAGCTCATTATTTTATATTTAGAAACATTCTCATGCAATTAGGTGCTTGTATTGGATCACGGATGAAGTCAACTTTACTGAAAAGTTTAAGGTCATCTGTTTGCAGCGGAGCCACTTTCATTCCTGCTAGGCAGGTTATTTATGTAAAAAAAAATAGGAGTGGTCTGTGATTGGTGCTTTAACGAATTTTAGTCGAAAGTAATTTCATTATTAATATTACAAAAATAGAGACAAAAGCTATCAAACTCAAAACAAT